GTTTACAAAGACAATGTTCTATACCACACTCTGGTAAGTCGTGACTGAAACCTTAACAAGCTCATGAGCAGTCACTGAGGTACAACTCAGTCTCTCTCCAAGATAGAAAATTGAAAGATGTATGGAAACACCTAGTCCAATGGATAAATTGACTATGCAAATATGTTTCCATAACCTCAAGCCTAGAAGAACTAGATGCTGCCAAACTACCACTACCAACTGCTCTGAAAAGGATCACACTAGGTAGATCCCGGGTAGAGTAGGAGAAAATTGTGGAACCGAACTCAAAATCATCAGAGACCAGGTTTATTGATCAGATAGACTGGTGTGATGGGACCACCAAAACTATAGCCCTTAGTCACCCTTTGAGTCTGAACCTGAACTTGCTCCTGTGCTAGAATAATAACCATTTAAGATAAAAAAAGAGAACTTTTACTCAAGGACAAAGTATAGAGGGTTAAGAGAGGAGGAGGGTGGAACAGAAAACAGGAAGGGAAATAAAAGATGGTATATTTATGGAAGATGCACACCAACCAGTATGACCAAAGGATTATTAACGATAAGATCCAAGATTAGAGGGGGAGATTGTATTAGACTTTAAATTCTGAGCACTCACGTTGCAGAATGCTTTGCAGAAAGCTATAGATGACAGGGAAAGCCCCAAACCATTTGCAGAGGCCTCACATGGACTGAGCCTCCATTGTATTTCCCTGGGCCCTTGACCAAGGGCATGAATAGTCTTCTCTTCAGACAAAGTGCATTGAACGTGAATAGTTTTGTACCCAGACAGAATACATTGGACTATTGCAGATATGGTTAGGTTAAAATGTAAGGTCTTACCATTTGTTTTCATCTTTGACCTATTTTAAACTTTTCCTAGTTTTTATTACTTCCTGCTTCCTTTTGGATTGAGATTTTTTTGTGTTTTATGCTGTTGTTGCCAGTTTAAAAGAAATGTTTTTTTTTTCTTTATATGAAACTCAAGATAGGTAAATCTATAGAGATATCAACTAGATTAATAGTTTCTTAGGATTATGACAGGGTGGGTGGGAAGAAATGGGGAGTTAATAATAATGGATACAAGAATGAAGAAAATGTCCTAAAATGGATTGTGGTGATGATTATACAACTCTTCTTGATGTGATTGAATTATTGAATTGTATGATATGTGAATTAAATGCCAACAAAATTGTTGTTTTTTAAAAAATGGATCGCTTCTTGACCTTTTGACTAAGATCAAGTGTTCAAAACAAACAAACAAACAACAACAACAACAACAACAACAAACGGTTGTGAAACCATTACCACAATCAGTTCCAGGACATTTCTTTTTTCTTGTATTCCTTGTTTCTAGAGCCCTGTTTCCTGATGGCCTCCCCTGCCATGTCCCGTTGACTCTATCAATCTATAGATTTACCTAATCTGGATTTCATATACAGAGAAACATATAAAGTCAAAACAAAATACAAAGGGTCAACAACAATGACATAATTGAACAGAGAAAAACCTCAATAGAAAACAAAGCAGAAAATATTAAAAACTGGAGTAATTGTACATCCGATCAAGAGGGAGATCAATGACAATGTCTTATTTTGACCTCACGATTGCAGCCATCACCTTACAGTGCACTCTGTCTGATAACAAAGCCTTTCTCATCTTTGGCCTACAGTCAGAGGGACTTCCCCCAAGGCTTAGTCCTCATGGGGGACCCTGAGAATGAGCTTTGGGCTTTAACTGTCATCTCCAGCCTTCTGCAAACTGGGCGTTCAGAATTTAAGTTCTAATACCGTTTCCTCCTCCGGGTTTGGATTTTATTATTTACAATTTTTGGATCACACAAGCTGGTGTGCTTCTTCTGTGTGGACTCCACCTTGAATCTTAACATACCTTCAACTTCCATTGAACTCTTTCTGATCATAAATTTACAATATAGATAGATTGCTTTTCCCTCAGGCAGGGTGTGCTTAAAAGTAAATTTCAACTCTCTTATAGGGTCTCCGTGATTTGCTTAAGCTGTAAATTTGTCCAAACTGCAATAGGGTTCACATCCCAATCATGGTTCCTCTCCTGCTTCTGTAGTCTTGCTTGTGATAGTGACGAAATGGTCTGCTGCCAATCTTGATTTTGTGATGATTTCCTTTTTTTTCTATGATCATTAATTAGTCATAAGATCATGATTCTTTTGGACAACATTATGGTCTCATGCTGATGGTCTCTTTTTTTTAAAAGTCATTTTATTGGGGCTCATACAACTCTTATCACAATACATACATACATCAATTTGTATATTCGTTGCATCATTCTCAAAACATTTGCTCTCCACTTAAGCCCCTGGCATCAGCTCCTCATTTTCCCCCCTCTCTCCCCGCTACCCCCTCCCTCATGAACCCTTGATAATTTATAAGTTATTATTTTGTCATATCTTACACTGTCCGATGATGTCTCCCTTCACCTACTTTCCTGTTTTCCATCCCCCAGGTAGGAGGTTATATGTAGATCCCTGTACTCAGTTCCCCCTTTCCACCCTACCCTCCCTCCACCTTCCTGGTATCGCCACTCTCACCACTGGTCCTG